TGGAGTTTGCTACATTGATAATTGAAAATTATTTTAGCTAGATATGAAATCCAAGGCTCACATGTTCTTGCCTTGGGTAGATTAAATATGTCATCCCTTTTCTTCTGGCATAAAATGTTGCCGAAGTCTGCTGACAATATAATTTTCTTTCTGTATTAAAACACTTCGTGTTTTTTCCTGGTTGTCAAAAGATGGTTTTTTTTTCTTCAAAGTCCAGTAATTTTATCAGAATATGTCTTGCTATTGTTGATCATTCTGTGTTGATTTTCCAAGGTATGTGGTGTGCCCTTTCAGCATGTAGTTTCAGATCTTTTTTTCTGATTTCAGTAAAAACTTCTTCACTTATACACTTATGTTCCCTTGTTTTCTTTGCTTGTCTTTGATATTTGTCACATCCTCTTGATAATTTTCATCCACCTTCATTTCTTTTTGATTAAAAAAGCTTCCTTTTCACCTTCTGTTTCTCTTAAGGTATTATCTGTTATGTTTATTTGCTCCTGTGTCCCAATTAGCTTTGTCTTTTTTTTTTGAAATGATTATTTTCTTTTACTTCTAATCCTTTCCTGAGTTTTATCATGTCATTTCTAAATTGTTCTTCCTCTGAATTTTATAGTGTTCCATATCATGTACATTTTTTGTATCATATGACTCTTAATATATTTTAGCTAATTTTGAAATATTAGATTTTAATTTTCATCATTTTTTGGTAGATTTATCTTTCTGGCATGTTTTAATTCTGTAAGGATATTAATCTATTGCGTATTTTTATGTGAAATTAGTTTACCTGAAGTTTTAGGAGGCTTGATATAGAATAGGTTTTCCCCCCCTAATTTCATGGCTATAGAGTTCCATCTTCTGTTGTTTTTGAGAATTGTTCAGAATTATAGTTACTTCCTTTCTGCCTCTTCTACTTTTATCTGGATGTTCTATTTTGTCTCTGTTGTCCCATTCCTGATCAGTGTGGAGTCTGTTCCCACCAGTTTCTCCTCAGAGTGGGACTTCATTCTGGAAGGGAGCTTTGGATGGTTTTGAGAGTTCATGAGGCCCAGGCGGCTGGCTCCCAGCTGTACCATCAACTCCTTGCACTCAGTCACTCTTTGAAGGTGCAAACCCCTGCCAGTGTCAGTTGTTGTTCATAAATTAGCTTGCTGAGGTTTGAGTGAGTTATTTTACAGTTCTCAAATCTCACAGATACCTTGCTAATTCTCGCTGCAGACTCTTCCATAGCTGATACCATTTTGCTCTTGTAGCTATCTCTTAATTTGTCCTCATCCACTCAGATTTCAGGGTTCATGGGGGAATCATTTTCATTTGATTTTGTTCTACATTGTGTCCATGGATTTTGGTTTTGCTTTCCTACTTGCCTTCCCTACTTGTCGTTTTTATGGTGGCATTTGGGGAGATTAAAAAAAACCATGCTGCCAACCAGAACCTTTCTCCCAGGAGGTCTCTGTAAATGATAGACCACAGGTCAAATCCTACCTGCCACTTGTTTGTGTACAGCCTGCAAGCTAAGAATGGTCTTCACATTTTAAAATAGCTGAAAAATCTAAAGAAGAATACTGTATCATGGCATATGAAAAGTATACGAAATTCAAATTTCAGTGTCCATAAATAAAATTTTGTTGGAACACAGCCACGCCTATTCACTTATATTATCTATGGCTTTCATGCTACAACAGCAGTGTTGAGTTATTGGAACAGAGAGTATATGGCCCTCAAAGCTGAAAATATTTGTTATCTGGCCATTTACAGAAAAAGTTGGCCAGCGCTGGTCATATAATATGCTTTATAATAGCTAAATAATATTCCCTTACGTGAATGTATCATAATGTACTTAACCAAATTCCTATTATTGGACATTGAGCTAAATTCTAAGTTTCATTATTATAGGTATCATTTCATAGTTAATATTAGCATATATATTTTATTATTTTCTTGGGATAAATTATTACAAGTTAAGATTGCTGGATCAAAGGAGATTATATGGATTTTAAACTCTTTTATTGATATTGACAAATTGTCACCCAGAAAGGCTATACAGGTTAAATATCTATTAAGGATACTGGTTAAATAAGTTATGATGCATTCATGCAATGAAATATTATGCAGAGGCTAAAGAAAACGAGGTAGATCGGTTTTACAGATGTATAAAAATATAGAATATATGCTGTTGAACTAAACGCTCTGGTTCCATATGTAAGGTCTGATTCTTTCATATTAAGAAATGGGGGCACTATAATACACACACTTAAACTTTTCATAAGAAGCATAGATTTCAATTAGGTTATACCAATTTATACACCTACCAGTAGGATATCTGAATGGTAGTTTTGCCATGCTTTTGCCTGAATGTATCTAATTAAAAGAATTACTGCCGATTTGATAGTTGGGAAAAGGGCATCTTGTTTTATTTTTACATATCAACTTTTATATTTTTTCATATGTTCATTGACTTGAATTAATTCTTTTGTGCAGTTCTTATTCGTTGTTCATGTTATCCATGCAATATTCATCTTTTCCTTGGTGGTTTGTAAATCTCTTTTTATATATCAGATATTAACCCTTTGGTTTGTCATCTATGTTTGCTTTTGTATTGTATTTAAGGTGATTAATGATGTACAAAACTTTTTTACTTTTTTAAAAACTAAATCTTCCTTTATTTTTTTACATGTAGAAACCCCTTTCCTACCTCAGATTTATATAATTGTTGCCCAATATGTTTTCCTAGTGCTTACTTGAGTTTGTTTTTTAGATTTCAGTCTTTTATCCATAGGGAATTTACCCATGTAAGCTTGAGATGTGGCTTAACTTTATTTTTCAAATGGCTAGCCGTTGTCTTAAGCGAAATTTCTTGAATAAGGCATTATTTTAAGGTTATGTATTTTTTTCAGATTTTTTTATTAGAAATCTGTGCATTTCTCATTTTATAAAATCAGGTTTGTTGATTTGATTTACATACAATAAAATTTACTCTTTTTAAGTGTATAATTAGAAGAGTTTTAGCAAATGTATGCAGTTTTAAAGCCACCACTTTAATCAAGATATATAGATCATTTCCATCATATTCTAAAAAGTTCCCTTGTGCCCCACTGCAGTCAACCCCCACCCTCTGACCCTATACCCTTGCAGTCACTGATATGTTTTCTATCTGTAAAGTTTTGCCTTTTCCAGAATGTCATATAAATGAAATTATACAGTGCACAGAGTTTTAAAATCTGTCTTCTTTCTTAGCATAATGCATTTAAGAGATATCCATGTTGTTGTGCATATCAATAGTCCATTTATTTTTATTGCTGAACAGTATTCCATGATATGGCTGTACTGTGGTTTATTAACCATTCATTTATTCAAGGACTTCGGGGTTATCTCTAGTTTTTGGCTTTTAGGAATAAAGCTGCTATAAATATTCATGTAGAGGTCTTTGTGTGGACATATTTCTCTTGCGTAAATACATGGGAGTGGGATTTCTGGGTCATGCAGTAAGCATATGTTTTGTTTTCTAAGAGACTGCCAGACTGTTTTCCATAGTGGCTGTACTATTTTGTTTCCACAATATATGAGATATCCAGTTACCCTGGATCCCTGTCAGCACTTAGAATTGCCAGTATTTCTTATTTTAGCCACTCTACTAGGAGTATCAGAATTAAGTAATTTATTTAGAATTATTTGGATGTTTTAAGCAGTGTTTCTCAACTCATTCTTCCATAGGCTTTCTAAGACTGGATGCTGCTGACTTGCTCAGTCCATCTCCAGTTGCTCAACCTAAGGTGTCTGAATATCCATTGTGGCTCTTGCTTCTGTTTTTCTTCTTTCCATTTTCTTTCCTAGGCTTATAGAACCATAAAACACAAGAGCAGAAAAGGAGCTTAGAAATAATCTAGTGCAGGAGTTGGCAAACTTTTTGGGAAAGGGTCAAATAGTACTGTATCCATGGGGGATTGGTTAGAGTGCCCTCCGTGGATACCAAATCCTGGGGTTGCTCAAGTACCTTATATAAGATGGTGTAGAACAATGCAAACAACTGGCCCTCCACATCCATGGATTTTCAACCTCGGATTGAAAATACTGCTTTTGATCTGTGGTTGGTTGAATCTGTAGATGCAAAACCCACAGATACAGAGGGCTGATTATAAATTGTTTTGGCTTAGCAAGCAATTTGTTCTCTACCACGATAATCCAACTCTGCTGCTGTTGCATGGAAGCAACCATAGACAATACACAAACAAGTGAGCATGGCTATGTTCCAGTAAAAGTGTATTTATAAAAACAGGTGGCCTGCTGGTTTGGCCCTTAGATCATACTTTGCCAACCCCTGATTTAGTCTTAACAACTTTATTTTACAGATGAGGGAACTGAGCTCAGGTTTTACCCTTTTCCTTGATTTATAAGTAAAGAAGGCAAGGACCAGGATATTGGCTTTCACTATAAGAGACACACTTAAATTAAGTTCAAGCTGAGCTTAATTTATGTGTAATTCCCTGTTCTAGCAAATGGTGTTACCTGAAGTTGTTAATACAAGGTCTTTCAAAAGTTTTAACTGCACTAAGACTTTTGGGACATTTTATGTTGCCATTCAGATGCTGGTTGACTTTTTGAACCTATTATATATCTGTGGAGCTATGGTCAAATTTGAGTGGTAAGAAAATAAAGGTAAAAACAGTTGAAGTAAGAAAAGTATGCCACCCTTTTATTTTTCTTCCAAAGACTGTTTTCAATTTTGAAGATGTACAGATTTGTTTATCTCTTAAGATAGCCATTAAGTGTCACATAATAATTCCATGCTTTTTCTCTCTTTAAGAGATTTTTAAGAGCTTGTTTTGTTTCATTAGTTGTTCAAATAGATGAAGATTCTTAGGTCAAAAAATAAAAACATAACAGGAAACATACACTTATGGTTCCATGCACGCAAACCTAAAAATAAGCACTGGCTGTGAGTACTCAGGGAAAGAACATTATTTAGAAAAGTCATTGTGTATGTGTTTTTTCCTTTCTCCCAGCACTGGAAGAAATATGACATCTATGAGAAACAAGCCAAAGAAGAAACTGACTCTGTAGTGCTGATAGAAAACCTGAAGAGAGCCTCTCAGTGATGGGGATAATTTATTTTAACCTTCAATGTGACCTTGTGAAGATTCATCCCATTCTCCATTTGTTAACTGGTAACTTGCTAAATGGAAACTGAAACTACTGGACCATTTAAAAACAGGCAGCTCATAAGAGCCACACGTTTTTATGTTGAGTCATGCACCAAAAAAACAAAAATAATGGTTGCTTTGGAGAAGAGAGTGGAGTCATACTCATTGAATTATAAAAGCAGGCATCTTTTGCGAAGGCTTCAAACTAGGGGACAAAACAAAAAGTGATGATCACAGTAGAGTTAATCTTATCAAGAGTTGTGACAACTTCCTGAGCAATCTATGCCTGCTTTGTATTCTTTGTGTCAAACAGTACCAACAAATTTTATTTCTGGGGGAACTCATTTTGGGTGCAAATGTTCATGCCAAACTTGAGTCACAGACAACACCTAACAAACAAAATTGACAAGATCTGTTCTCTGTTGTTTGAGATCCCATTAAGTGATGTTTGTTGCTATTAAAACTTCTGAGTCGAATCCTCATCCCTTCAGCAGCATTTCCCTCTGCTTTGAGAGGCCCAGGCAGCAGTGCTGGCTGTGATGAGAACTACAGCAAAGGCAGGGACTGCTGCTTTTACCAAGGCCTTTCAAAGCCTCTGCAGTCTTTTAAGGGCAGCAGAGACAGAATGACTTAGTGGGCATTAGAGTTTGAACCTCCAGTCTCTAATGATACATTGTTTGTTCTTCACCTCTGCTACTCAGCTCAAGTATTTACTATGTGTCAGACTGTCCTGTGAGGCACACTGCCTCCAAGGGTCCACAATCTGGTTGGAACACCTCAATTCTCACCACTTTATTTTTCTCTGCCATTCATTTTTCAGACCTTTTAACTCCCCAGTTCCCACACCGATTTCCCCTTTTTCATTCTCCCACATTGTATTCTTTCACCTTCGGTAGACCAAAAATCTGCTCAGAACACCTAGAGGAGCAGGGAGTGATTTGCATCTCAGGTAAAGTGTGAGTAGACTGAGCAATGATGATGAATTCTTGCATATTTTGTAACTTCTGTGTGAGTCTGCATTTGTTTGAAGATTTTCAGCATTTACTATTTCCCTACATATTTTCTAAACAGAAAGGAGGTATTATCTTCACTTAGAACTTTGCAATTTGCTTGATAAAAAGAACAGTTGTATCTTTTCCTCTTTCCCCTTACTGCCACAAAGAGTTATTAGTAGGTTTTGTGTCTTATATTGATAACCAGCATCCAAGGCTCCAGCGTTTGTATGCATTTTTTTTTGCGTATGTTAGGGTTCTATTCTTACCCATCCCCACAACATATATGTTCCTTCTACTCCTACTTTCTCCAAATGGAAGGAAGTGTGGCAATGAAATGCCCCGCATCCACCCCAGTCTTTCTCTCTTTACATACATAGACTCAGATTACTGGTAGGAACTTGAAAAATTTGTATCGCCAGTTCTGCAAACATTCACCCATTTGTATTAATAGGATGGTGCTGCTTGCAATTTCTGCTCGTAAGTGGAGGGAAATCAGAGATCCCTGCTCTTCACAGATTTGGGCAAAAGTGGCAACCTGCTTGCACTGCAGAGGAGGAGCACTGTGCCCCAGCTTTTCTAAGATAATTGGGGTTTGGAGGAAGGCTGGATAGATGTCAAGGTGTTGCCTCCCTGTGCTTTTATTTTTGAGGTCAGATTGAGGCTGGGAGACAGGCAGAGTGGATGTTCCACTTTGTTCTACTGTTCTGTAAAAAGAATATTTGATTTTCATTTGTAGGAACGATATTACTTACTAGCCAGGTGTTTTATAATTCTGGGAAGCAAAACACCTAAATGCCTCCACCTAGGCCATTTTTTCCTGTTATCCTATTTAGATGGCAATGGGTGGCGGGGGGGGGGTGTTCCTTGATGTTCTGGTTACCCAAGAACTACTGATGCTGACAGTCATGCAGCCTGGGGATGGGGAAATTGTATTTTGTTTGCATCCTCCTCTTTTAGTGGTAAAATAGTTAAGGGAAAAGGGCGCAGTGAGTCATGGGAGTAGCTATGGCTGTTTAATAATTTCTGGAAAGTGATCCCCAGGTGCTGGGAACTCTTGGAAACTTCAATACATCAGTGGGATTCTCATCACCTGTAGGAAACTACTAGGTTCATTTACTGTTTTATGTCTAATCTATATGGATTTTTTTCCCCACATACCTAAGTAAACTTGTAAGAATATCCATTCTTATTTTTTTATTCAGATTAAGTGTTTTCTTCATCTGGGTACTAAAGAGATAGGTGGAACAATGTTTAAGAACTTTTTTGGTAATGCCTTCACCTAGGGATCATTTTGTTTAACTTCTTATAAGAAAGCTTCACTAAAATAAATTTTGTCTTTTTGTATGTCACCCAAATGTTTTCCTTTGTCTTTATTTTGGGGAAAGTGTTATGGGGAGTGGGTGGCAGAAAAAAATTGGAGTTAAAAGAATAAATGTGAAAAATTCTAAGAGAGCTAATTTATCTGGTAATCATTTGTCATAAACTTTCCTGCTATCCTCAATGTGGCTGTTTTCTGATAAGGGCATGCACTTAGTTTAACATTAGTACAGCCTTTGCAAGCAGTATCTAAAGCAACGTAAGTATTTGTTAAATTGTAGTTATGATAGTTAAGGGAAATGGAGAACTGATACTTTCTAATATTAAGCTTAAAATAGTGCAGTATACTTAAGGAAACTGTCATGGTTTACATGAAGGGGGACCCCTAGTTAGAAATTAATCACATTAACAGGTCAAATTTGAGACTAGGCAAATCAGTCCTCAATAGCTGTCCTCTTAAGAGATGGTGATGCAGTTTCATATTTTCTATAACTATAGCAACGCGGTTTGAATGCCACAGAGGGTTTTTTCTCATTTGTGTTAAGCTCTAGGAGTGGGTCTTTAGCTAGACCACATTTGTTAATTACTCTGACTCTTCACAGGATCCAAACCCTAGGGTGTGGGTAGTGGGTGCTGATCTTGGTTAGGTTACTTCTGTTAACTCTCTAGAATTATCCAAGAAGATTCTGGAAATCTACCTCCAGGTAAGTATGAGTATAGTTTTGTTTTATTTTTAATAAGAAACTTCCTTTTGCTTCTTAATATATCAACACACTGAATATTATGACAGAAAACATTTAAGTGAGGACCCTTGAGATTGTATATCTGAGATCTATGGAACACAAATTCCTGTAGCCACAAACACGTTCACCTTATCTCAGCGGGAAAGGAGCCAGAATGATCTAAGCACATTGATTTTCAGAATCTCTTTTATTTTAAACGCTAATGATTACATCAAGAAATAAAAAACTTTTTTGGTAAATACTGTAGCTAAATCCTGGCATGCTTTTACTTTAGGCAAGAGAGGAGTTTTACTGACATTTGGGTAGGCTAGCTATTATTTTATATCAATGCCCAAGATGATTTCTTCCTGACTGTTCTTTGGTCTTTAACTCTCTTTCCTAATGGCCACACTTTTAGTTTACCATTAGCAACAGGAAAATATTTCACTGCTAGTTTTCAACATTTTTTAGGTAGACCATTATATAAAAAGAGAAAAGGAATGGTTATTGAGTGGCTACAAGCTGCTTCCAGTGGCTTTTCTGCATAAATGGCCTCTCTAGGCTCATGCTGTAGACTTTCCTAAAATATCTCAAAGGTTCAAAACACCAAAACGAGCAGCATCTCTCTTCGGCATGTCCCATACCTCTGACTGAGCAACCCCAAACCCAGATCTAGCAGGAGCTGGACTTGATTTGTAGCTTGGTCTCTCAAGGCACCTCAAAGCACAGTGAGGGCAGCGGCTATCTTCAGATTGCTTTGTGGCTAAAGCCAGGTGGCCCCGGGCAGGGCACAGGCTGTGGCTGAACTTAGCCTGTGGTGAACCTCCCAGGAGGCCCAGAGGCTGGCATGCCTGGTGGCCAGCTTTAGACACAACCAGAGCATCACCTGTCCATCTCTGGGGACAACCCACCCAAAGTGTACACTGGGCAGGCACCAGAACCCTGCTAAAGTGAATCCTGCTCTGTAGGGTCAGCCCCTGCACTACAGTTCCTCCACTGTTGTCACAGCCAGTCCTCACAACCAATTAGCCAGAGGATCAACCCCTCTCATTGATGTGCAAAGAGCAACCAAGGCTCAACTACAACAGAAGGGCACACACAACCCACACAATGGATACACCTGGAGCTCCAGGTGACCAGGAAGACTGCACAACTGAACCCCACAGCACAACAACTACATAAGGCCACTCTACTAAGACAGAGAGGCATAGCAGCCCTACCTAATGCATAGAAACAAACACAGGGAGGCAGCCAAAATGGGGAGACAAAGAAAATGTGCCAAATGAAAAAAGCAGAACAAAGCTCCAGAAAAAGAACGAAACAAAATGGAGACAAGCAATCTATCAGACACAGAGTTCCAAACATGGTTCATAAGGAAGTTCAATGATCTCAGGGAGGACTTCAACAAAGAGAGAGGAAACATAAAAATGCAGATAGAAGACATTAAAAGGAACCAGTCAGAAATGAAGATTACAATAACTGAAATGAAGAATACATTAGAGGGAATCGACAGTAGATTAGAAGAAGGAGAGGATCGAATCAGCAATTTAAAAGATAAGGTAGCAGAAAACACCCAATCAGAACATCAAAAAAAGAGTTCAAGAAAATCAGTATAGTAAGGGGCCTCTGAGACAACATCAAGTGTACCAATAATCACATCATAGGGGGTACCAGAAGGAGAACAGAGGGAGCAAAGAATCAATTGCCTATTTGAAAAAATAATGATGGAAAACTTCCCTAACCTGGTGAAGGAAATAAATATACAAGCCCAGGAAATACAGTGAGTCCCAAACAAGATGAACCCAAAGAGGCCCACACCAAGACACATCATAATTAAAATACCAAAGATTAAAGACAAAGAAAGACTCTTAAAAGCAGCAGGAGAAAAGCCGTTAGTTAACTAAAAGGGAGCCCCCATTAGATTCAGCTGATTTATCAACAGAAACGTTGCAGGCAAGAAGGGATTGGCAGGAAATATTCAAAGTGATGAAAAGTTAAGACCTACAACCAAAATTACTCTACTCAGCAAGGCTATTGTTTAGAATTAAAGGACATATAAAGAGCTTCTCAGAGAAGAAAAAGCTAAAGGAATTTGCTGACACCAAACCAGAATTGCAAGGAATCTTAGAGGAACTTCTTTCAGAGAAAATAAAATAAAAAGATGAAAAAATATGAATAATAATATGGCAATGACTTCATAACTATCAACATTTACTTTCAATGTAAATGGGTTAAAGGCTCCAAATCAAAAGATAAGGTGGGCAAAAGGATAAAAAACAACACTGTCATATATGCTGCTTACAGGAGACTCATTTCAGATCAAAAGACACACAGACTAAAAGTAAAGCGATGAGGAAAAGATATTCATGAAAATAGAAATAACAACAACAAAAAGCTGGTGTAGCAATACTTATACCAGACAAAATAGTCTTTAAATCAAAGGTCATAACAAGAGACAAAGAAGGACCCAGTAATCCCATTTCTGCGTATTGGGTTGTCGGAAAAGTCATGATGTATTTTGTCTATGTTTTTCAAAGGTCATTTATTTATATAAAGAACAAACATCAATCAATGTTATATTGCCCGTTATGTTTGATAACCTTTTGCCATCTTTCAGTGAGCTTCATAATTCCTCGTTCGTAGAAGGACCTGTCTTTATTTGCGAAAAACTGAACAAGGTACTGATTTACAGCCTCATCTGATTTGAACATTATACCACGCAAGGAGTTTTGAAGAGAGTGAAACAAGTGGAAGTCTGACGGCGCAAGGTCAGGCAAATATGGTGGGTGTGGCAACACATCCCATCCAAGCTCCAATAAATTTTGACGGGTGATCAAACTTGTGTGTGGTCTCACGTTGTTGCAATGGAACACAACTCCTTTACATTGAAAAGCTCTCGACGTTTCTGGATGAAGGATTCGTTCAAACTGTCCAATTGCCGACAGTACACATTTGAATTGATTGTTTGGTTCTTTGGTAGGAACTCAAAAAACACAACACCTTTGAAATCCCACCACACTGAGAGCATAACCTTCCTCTGATGAATGTCTGCTTCCGATGTCGTTTGAGGCGAATCATCATGTCGGGACCAAGACCATTTGCACACCACATTGTTGTAAACAATCCACTTGTCATCACAGGTTACCAGTCATTCAAAAAAGGATCATTTTCCTCATGTTTAATGAGCATATTGCAGATGTTTATACGCACCGTCAAATGAACTTTGAGTTCATGCGGAGTCCAAATATCGAGCTTGCTTATGTATCCCAGCTTCTTCAGGTGGTCATGAACGCTTGAATGATGGATATTCAATGTTTCTGCAATCTCTCATGTCGTGTAACGTGGGTTTGACTCGATCAATGCCTTTATTTTGTTGTCATCAATCTCGGTGGGCCTCCCTGACCGAGGAGCATCATTGAGATCAAAATCAGCAGCATGGAATTTCATGAACCATCATTGGCACTGACATTATTGTAGAACATTGTCACTGTAAACTTTATGCAACTTTTCACAAGCTTGATGTGCATTCTTCCCTTTATGGAAGTGAAACAGTAAAATATGGCACAAATGCACAGCTTGGTCTTCCACCTTCAAATTGTAAAATCTCCAAAACTCAACCAAATTGCTCAATTTTTCTTAGAATGATGCTAGAACTGTCAGCTGTCTAATGATATTGCAATAACATAGATGCAAATGAACTAGTGCCATCTGATGCAAAGATGCATCAAGACTTTTCTGACAACCCAGTATTTCTCCGAAGAAACCTAAAACACTTCTTCGAGAAGACCTGTGCATCCATATGTTCATTGCAGAATTGTTTACAATGGTCAAGATGTTGAGGCAGCTTGGGTGTTCATCAATGGATGAATGGATAAAGAGTAGGTGGTACACATATACAATGGAATACTGCTCGGCCAAGGAAGGGAATGGGGTTTAGCCATTTGTGGTGTCATGGATGGACCTGGAGAATTTTCTGCTGGGTGGAGCATGTCAGACAGAGAAAGATGGATGCAATATGATTTCGCTTATATATGGAATCTAAAGGACAAAAATAATCAAACAAAACAGAAACAAGCTCATAGATACAGAGGCATTTTGATGGTTGCCAGATGGGAGGGACTTTGGGGGTGGGTGGAAAAGGGAAGGGATTAAGAAGTACATATTGGGCCCTTGAGCCATTCTCTACTGCTCAGGCCCACTTCTATTTCTTGAAGTGTACTATCTCTTCTAATAAACTGTTCCTTCACCACTTAAAAAAAACCAAGAAATACAAATTGGTTGTTACAAAGTAGTCATGGTGATGTAGGCTACAGCAT